AGGCTTAAATCTTTGTGCCACCAAGTCTTGCATAGCACTAACATGTACTCTAAATTGGGTTGAATCTGGGGAAGAAAGACTGTCCTTGGCGATTTTAACTTACCCTATTATTAGTCAGCGAGATTCTCTGGTTTATTTTTCTGGCTTTTGGAGAGCTTCTCTGTAACCTTTACATGGTTTCTTTGCAGAAAATCGTTAGTGAGGGAAAGTTAAGCCTAATGAATCCCACTTTGGATTTTGTAATGATTGCACATTCATTATGATAGTCATCATTTCACCTTATTTCAAAGCTGACATTCTTGAACGATATAGTTCTATTCCCCCAATGGTTGTATTCTATGTTAATAGGATAATCTAATAAATGGTCTTTTCTATATCAAATGGGGAGTTTTCCTATCAATTACATCTTTTCAAAGGACAGATCATGATCACTGTTGCTCTGTTTATTGCCTCTGAAGAGGAAATAATTAGTCTTTGTAATTTTAAGAACTTGGGTAGATTGGTGGAGGAGGAGTCTCGGAGGCGTTTATAGAAGCATTGAGGAAGATTTGGGAGAGGGGAAGATGTCCTAGGTGTTGACTCTACTTTCCCTCTTCCTATCAGTATGCTAATGAAGAAAAGAGCCATTCTCTCTACTCTAGACCAGTGGTTCTCAACCTTCCTAATGCCACGACACTTTAATACAGTTCCTCGTGTTATGGTGACCCCCAACCATAACATTATTTTCATTGCTACTTCATCACTGTCAGTTTGCTACTGTTATGAACCATCATGTAACTATCTGATTTGCAGGATGTATTTTCATTGTTACAAATTGAACCTAAGGAAAGCATAGTGATGAATCACAAAACAATATGTAATTATATATTGTGAAGTATTTATTTGTAGTTACAAATGAATAAAATTTCGTCTTGAAGCATGGTGTAGCATGGGTAACAGTCTTCACGCCGGGTACTCTTATGTGGGCATATCTGCACCTGGGTGGACCCGCCTGGAGATGGATAGAGGAGTGGTGTCCCAGTTCCTAAGACCATCAGAAATATGTGTTTTCCAGTGGTCTTAGCGACTCCTGTGAAAGGGATGTTCCACCCCCAAAGGGGTCGCGACCCACAGGTTGAGAACCATTGCTTTAGAGGCAGTCTGGTTTGTAATGACAGGCAATGCCATTTCCTTTGCCCTTGCCGCTTTGGGTCTCTATAAGTTGGCATCCATGACAGTGGGTTTTGCTTTAGTGACTAGAGCAGAAACCCCGTCCTAAACTGATCTGCACATGGCATTTATAACCACACAGCCTGGTTTAGGACAACTAAATAATGAGCCAGTTTGGGCCAATTAGACTTGAACGGAGTCTTGTGTTGAGCCTCCTGAAAAAGAGTTTTCCTTGTTTTCTCAAAACAATCATAGGGAAAAATGAAAAGAATCATAGGAAGAAAAGCCCTCCGCTGCTCTGGTCATTGAGAAGGGCAGATGGGAAGGCAGCATTTTGACCTGAGAAAGGTCAGGTGAGATGACTCCGCCAGCACAAGGAGCCTGGACTAGGCTGCCCCTGAGACAGCCTCCCTGCTCGGGCTCCCACCTCTGTGGGCCAATGAAGTCCCAGTGACTGAGCCAAGAAAAACCAAGTAGAGTCTGGTTTTCTATTACTATTAGGCAAAAGCATCCTAACTGAAATGGTTAGTTTTCATTTTATGGCATCTAAAAAATGTTTTAGAGATTAAAACCGATTTTTTACACACATATGGTAAAACTCAAGCAACATAAAAGGGCATTCAAGATCCACGTCCATCTCATTTCCAATATCATCCACCTTTTCGGAGTCAACTATGGGATGAGTCCGATCCATGTCTATAGGTGCATCTTAATTCTACTAAAATAGAAGCACAATATACACCTTAGTCTACCCCTTATTTTTTCCACTTCATATGTATTGGAGACTATTTCAAACCACTACATAAAGATCTATCACATTCTTTTTAAAGCCTGGATAGAATGAACCCAATTGTGTGGTCAGACCACAGTCTATTAACCAATTCCATTTTTTTGGCCACTGTAAATAATGGTGAACTGAACAGCCTTAAGTTTACATCTTTGAGTAAAAATATGGGGACATCTGGAACTAAATCCCTAGAAGTAGAACAGCAAGGTTGAAAGGTGTGTGCATTTCATATTTCAATACCTATTGCCAAAAATCCCCCTTTAAAAAGAGTCTACAAATCTATTTTAGGCTAGGTTAAGTTATAGGTAATAGAACCCCCTCTTCTAAGATTTCCAAAAATCTTTCTTATTTATTTCTAAATTAAATGACTATAATAACATTTCCATGTGTATCGTATTTTGCTATGTATTTAACAAACATCATCTTATTTAATTCTCAGAACAGCCACATAAGGCACAAAGGGATTAAGTGCTTAGGCAAGATCACACAGATAGTAAGTGGTGGGA